GGGGGGGGGGGGGGAACTATTTAGCCCAAATGTAAAAACAAACCCAAAAGTAAAGTGTGCTGTTTCAAAACCTTCAAAAAGATTACGGTATGAAACAGCAGCACGTATTCTTATTTTGTGATAACTGAATTTAGAACCCATAGACTCTAGGAACAAGTTTAGAATTTAAAGGAAGATGCCAAACACTTATTCTGGTCAGTAAAGTGTCCATTTAATAAGTTCATCAGCCACATTTTTCAAACCCTCCTCCCACCCTAAAAGTTAAATCCACACTTAAGCAGCAAATGATACAGTTTTACAATGTACAACAAAAGAACTCTTGTAGAGTTTGATGTCCCTCCTGTTATATCAAGAATTTCAGGGCTTATATTTGACAAAAATCTGGAACGCAACTGTACCATCACCCATGCAAAAAGCAAGTTTTATATACAGTCCCTATTTTTTTCTTATAAATTTAAATATTATACAAAAATGCATCTTTCCATCAAAATGTATAAAGTTTAGTGAACAGAGAGCCCAAAATGTGTCTTAAAATAAAAGTTATCTGATTTCAAAGGTTATTTTGACAATCTAACATAACTGAAATCTAAATTGCACCATATAGAAGGCACTTGTGCTGTGTGATGTCTTGAGCAAATATATTTGTTAGTTTAATAAACAGTGTCCTCTTGAAGTCATGCAGTTGTCTCCAAGCATCATTAAAGCAGCTGAAATAAGGATTGTGAGTAAACTTGATTCCACAGTTGTGAAAACATATTTTCTAGCAATAAGTCAATCATACAGCATTGTGCTCCAGATGACTTTAAAGTCAAACTGGTAAAGAAAACAAAATCACCATCATTCACATGGGAACTGGAACTATTTTTCATTCTCTCATAAGTTACAAAGTATGCCACTTAATTAGGAAACTAAAATATCACTGAACAGTTCAGTGTTCAAAAGTTTGTGCCAATGAAAGTCTGTATTAAAAACAAACTAAGGGCTAGTTATTTCAAGGAGCAGTGCACATTTAAAAAAGAAGTCTTCTCTACTGTTGAGATAGAAGAGCAGTCCTATTAGCCTTCATCTTCTCCAACCGTTTCATCAAGTGGCTATTGGTCATCTCCATCTCTTCCATCTTATCCAGTGCTGTCCTTAACTAAAATGCAAACAAATGTTTCATTCAGTTTTAGAGTGCTGTCTTGTGAATAACAGGAATTAAAATTCTAAAAGAAGCTTTGATGTTAGGATCATAACCTTATTTTCTCTTCACTTTTTTTTTTTTTAAAGGCTTTGCTATAACTTAGAAATGCTTAAGAGTCTAAATGAAATTTGCTTTAAAATTAGGCTGTTTGTGGCTTCCTGAGCTGGAAAATAAGATTTCTCTGAAACAGGAAGAGAGTGTGAGGACTCAGTCATTCCAGGACCTAATGTTCCTGAATGACATCTCACCCTAGTCTTGGTTTTTGGCAGACAATTTTGCAAATATCTAGTTGGTCTAATAAAAGATATCCCCTCTGCCATGAGTTCTGATTCCTTTAGCCTCTAGACCAACACAGCTAAAACCTGGATACCTGGCACAGTAAACTTGTACTTGTGTAACATGGCATGAAACAGTCCAGCAGCTTTCTGAAGCTACTAGGAAACCTTCCCATCATGCTTCAAAAAACCTGTAACAAAGTGTTACAAAAAAGTGATACAACGTACAACTGAATCTCAGATATTTGAGGTCCATTAGAGTAAAAAATAGATGTATTATGATTTAACAGGTACTTAAAAGTAGGACAGGGTACACCCACAGGATCCAAGAATAAAAGGCTGTCTCAAAAGAAACCTAATGTCTGTTTTTAGCCTGAAAGTAGACAAAATTTAACAGACGTGACACAACAAGTAAAATGCTCTAGCTTGGGAACAAACTGCACACAAAAGGAGGCAAAACCTGGTCCCAACAAGGGAAAGGGTTTCAAAACCTCAGTTCAAATAATCTTGATGCTGCACTAGCACACATGAATTGAAGAAACAAACCAACCAGAAGACAGGTTATCAGTGCACTGAGGACAAGAAAGTTTCTCCCAATGATCTGCGCAGTTGCGATTTGATAGCCAAGAAGTAAAGATGGCCATAATATAAATAGACAAAATCTGCTCAAGAAATCAACGCTGATATAATTTGTTAGAACTTCCTAAGACTTAGAGAAAAAAGATAAGAGGAGGAGAAACTGCTGAAAAACAAGAATGTTGTGAGCCAAGACAATTACCATTATTCATGGCCTGCAGAACATCTTGCCAGCTGCAGTCAGAAAGGAACTGGTCTTGGAATATAATGAAGTGCTCACAGATGACTAATGAAAGGTTCATGCAAAATATCATACATACAGCCATTTTTATTCCTGACCCTCTTTCAGAAGTACATTTACTGCCATAACAGCTGCACAGATTAAATATTCAAGCTTTTAATTTTATTTATAAAGATTCGATTGAGTTTCCTTTGAAATGAAAAGGAATTTATTACCTCTCGTTGAAGTTTCCTTTTTTCTGCTTTGAGTTCATCTTCTACTTTTTCTGCACTCTCTGCTGCAGTTTTGTATCTCATAACCTGTCCTTCAAGTCTTCCAATCTGTAAAACCAAATAAAACCACACATGTAAAGAATACTGCTTTTCAGTCAGTGAGCACATCCTTCACCATAAGACCAGCCTTCTTCCTACCCTCTGTGGCAGTTCTTACATTAACTGTACTACTCAGCAAAGGAAAGAAGAGAGACTGTGAACATGAAGCAACACCTGTAACTAAAACAAAAAGGAAAATGAGTTTAGAGAACTAACCAACATTAACACAAGACAGCAATAGAAGGTAGAGAGATCCCGCTGCGTCTCTCTCTCTCCATGGTGAGATAATAGAATATTAAGCAGAAGACAATGGAAATCAGAGAATAGCAGATGCATGACTAACAGGTCCATGGAGGTGATGCTTCTTCCCCTCTATGCTGCTCTGGTCAGGCCGCAGTTGGGAGTACTGTATCCACTTTTGGGTGCCACACCTGAAGTGGGATGTGGAGAATCTTGAGAGGGTTCAGAGGAGGGCCACTTGTATGGTCAAAGGCCTGCAGGCCAGGCCCTATGAAGAGACTGAGGGACCTGGATCTCTTCAGCCCGCACAAGAGAAAGCTGAGAGGTGATCTGGTGGCTGCCTATAAATTCATCAGGGGAGGGCAGCAGGGAATAGGAGATGCTCTGTTTACTAGAGCACCCCCTGGAGTAATTAGGAACAATGGCCACAAATTGACAGACAGCAGATTTGGGTTGGACATTAAAAAGAACTTCTTCACAGTAAGGGTTGCCAGAATCTGGAATGGGCTTCCAAGGGAGGTGGTGCTCTCCCCTACCTTCAGGATCTTCAAAAGGAGACTGGACAAGCACCTAGCTGGGGTAGTCTGACCGCAGCACTCTTTCCTGCCCAGGGCAGGGGGTTGACTCAATGACCTACTGAGGTCCCTTCCAACCCTAACATCTATGAATCTATGAAGCACTGGACACTGGGAACCTCAGTGGACTGGAAGAGGAAGAAAATGAAGGAGGAGATAGTGGCAAATGAAGAGACAGGGAAAAGAGAACTGGAGGGAAAGATGCTAGAAATTGAAAACAGACCTGGAAAACAGAAAATCAGATAAAATACATGGAGATGAGAGACAGTAAGCAAACTGAAAGAAATGAGATTTGGCACTCATGTCAGAGCATAAACTAAGAGGGACCTTGGACCAAAGAACAGATCAATAAAGGGGGACCACAAGCCAAAAATAATAAGGAGACAGCAGCTTTGAAACATGCTTGCCTCCCTGTATTTCCAATACAAGAATTATGACCTGTTAATGTTGCATTTGACTGAAACCAAGTGTGTGGCATAGGGAAAATAAGTCACAAAACCTAGAGCCAGACATTTAAAAAGCCTGAGCCTGAACTGATTCAATCTTTGCAGGTTAGTTTAACCTGGCTAGGCTGAATCAGTGTGCAACTGCACAGACATCCCCAAAACATAGGCATATATCTGCAAAGGCTCAGGGTAGAAGCCAAAGGGCGCTAGAGCAGCCCTCCCTTCCCTTCATCAGGGCTGAGCTGAGGGGAGACATGGCCCTGCCCCAGGAGGATGCCCTGATTAGGGAGGAGTTCCCCCCCTCCCTTCTGATCAGCCCAGCAGGGAATTGATAACAGTGTTTATCACACCTAACTCAGTGTTTATTAGAAAACAACAAAGGGACATCACCAGCTACCTGTTGAGTTTGCCTTTGTCCTGTCTGCCACAGCATAGACTGTAGCCAGCATGTGGTCTGCTAGCTAATATGGAGAGGTGTCTGTGTAAGGCAGAGGGGACAAGGGAAATCCCTGCTTAGCAGGGAGTGGTGAGGGGATCAGCGGGGAGCCTGTAGTCTCTGCTGGAGCTCCAACCAGGAGCAATGGGGAGGGGCCAGCTCTGCTGTAGAGCAGAGAACCCTGCCAAGCCCAGAAAGCATGCCAGGATGATGGGGGAGTCTGATTTAACTTAAACGAGGAAGGAGTCTAGGACAGGCATATAAACTGGTTTGAACCATTTTCAAACCGGGTTATCTGCACTGAACATCTGATCCGTTACAGTTTTAAACCAGTTTCTGATCACTTAAACTGGTTTGTGTGTAATGTCTGTCCCTACCCTTACCGAATAATGTGTGCAACAATTATTTACAAAGTTACTGAACGAACATACATACCAGTTCACACTCAGAATTTTGCTGTGTTCTTTAAAAAATATACCTAGCTACCTATCAGATAATTCTAAAAGTGAATTTCAGACTTTTTTCCTCCTCACAGGTCCATGTAAATTAACTATCTCCATTAATTAAGGCGTGGATACTATTTTGAGACAAACATGTACGCAGTAAAAATCTTTTTATTTTTTAAAATACAGTGCATGTATTATTGAATCCAAAATGTTAACCTCTATATTTTCTTTTGTGACTGGTTAAAAAGAGCTGTTAGCAGCAAGAAAAAAGGGTAATACTAGTCTGAACATAATGCAACTGGCAAAGACAGTATGGTGAAGCATAGAACAGGTGCAGAATAAAACTATGGATTTAATATAATCTAATAAATCAATTTACAGAGCATATTATACACAATGAGTCTTTTAGACCTACTTAAATATTTCGTAAAAGAAATCTAAAGTAAGACATACTTACATTTTGTTCCATGGTCGTTATATCTTGTTCAGCTTTTGAAAGCTTAAATTTGTATTCACTTATTTGTCTGTTGGCATCTCCTACAGAAAATCAAATAGAAAGGTATTTCTTAAAGGGCCAAGTCTCTAATGGGCCATTTCTATTTTAATTCAAAATTCATTTAAAATTACTTCATTGAGAATACAGGATTCTTCTAGTAAGGTATATTTTCTTTTTAAATTCCTTTTTCTGGGAGGCTTAAAAAGCCACCTTTATCACATAGACTTTATATACCAGGGGTTCTCAGCCTTTTTCTGAGCCCCCCCCATGCTATAAAAACTCCATGGCCCACCTGTGCCAGAGCAACTGCCTGGCATCCCAGCACCATGCACACAGCTCAGGGTGCAGCAGGCAGGGATTAGCAGCAGGGAGCCCCTGGGCCCCACCCACCTGAGCAGCAGCAGTATGGAGCCTCATCCGCCCACCTGCAGCAGCACCACCCGCAAGTTAGAGGTTGTGGGCATAGCAGGTCACGCTTGCCCCTGCCCCTTCCTTGGGACTCGCCTCAGACCTGGGGGACCAAGGCAACCCATGCCAGGCAGGGCCAGGCAGACACCCTGAAACCTGCTCATGGTCCCCCAGGGGGCCATGGACTCCCTCCCCACCCCAGTTGAGAACCACTGGCCTACATGCTGCTATTGCCATTGCTGAGATGCTCTTAAAAGCTGGCTTTGAGGATCAAAAAATTAAACAAAAAATTTTCTAGGAAAGGAAGGAAAAAATGACATGAGCCAAATAATTAAAAATGGTGGTGTTCTGTATCATTGTCTAAATAATGAAGTTTTACAAATATTTGCATTAGATCCTGACAAAGCTGTCAATTAAGAAAAATAGCTTGCTAGAAATACTGAATACAAACCTTTCATTAGCTAACAAGGAATGCAATGAGAGGAAAAGCACAAAGAATTTAAATACTGCATTTGATATTGCTAACACTGTTTTCAAAACAACTAGACTACTCAAGTAAGCTAACAAATAAAAGGAAAGAGCCTATAAAAGTTACAATTTTTTCAACAAAATTAGGTAAGTGCTCAACCAAGGGCAAGGTAAGACACTTGCTCTTTAAATATATATAAAAAGGAAACAAAAGGTTCTTTTCAGTATAAATACCTTTATATAACCAAGGTAGACTTACTCTGCATTTCAATTAACTGCAAGTCAGAACCATTCTCTAATCCTGTTATATCTGGATTTGAACCATCACTTTTAGAGTATTTCTGTCGTTCCTCTTCTAACTGCAGCTTCAGCTTTCTAATCTGAAAAAATATGCTATTTTATTAAATGGTAAGCTTCTAGAAGTACTTCATTAGGATTTTCAAACTGAGTTGACAGTTTAGCTGTACATAGGGAATTACCTCCTCAAAATTTACACTTTCCAAATGTTTACAGGGGCTATGGCCAATATCATAGCATGTTTACAGGGACAGCAAAACTGTTTTTAGGTTGTACCCCTTTCTGCTCCTTTAAGTAACAGCTACCGGGATGCTCTCCAACACACAGTACTCTCAAGCTGCTTCTACTTTGTCTTATGTGCAAGAACCCCCCAGGGTTTTTCTACAGCAGTGGTTCCCAACCTTTTTGCCATAACCCGCTGCTGGGAGCAGAGCGTGGCATAGTGGCAGCCCAGGGGTGGGGGAGTTCCTAGCGTGTGGTGTGGCTCACCTTTTGTGTGAGGCGCCACCGGCATTGCCCCTACGACCCTCATTTGGGTCATGACCCGAGGTTGGGAACCACTGTTCTACAGGAATCACTGATAGCTTTTTTGGTGGGAAGAGTATGGAGAAGAGAGGGACAATGTACGAAACAAAAATCACTATCATGGCTAACCCCAGAGAATTCCCCTGCTGCTTTGTGGGATCATGCGGTTTAACTCACATGAACAGGAATTTGCAGTTTTTACTATGATACTCCTAACAAGTTTAGGATCAAGCTTTAGTAAGTGTATTGCTAATATTCTATCCCATATCTGGCTTGAGTTAATTTACTTAATTTTAAATTGAATAGTAAAAATAAGGTATTTTGTATTTTGCTAAAAAGGCTGACAAAATGGCTTGATCTGTGCCCTGTGCATTAGCTTGCCACATTGGTCAGTGAACCTCTAAATTAGAAGCTAACTAACTAATGCGTGGGTAACAGTCTACAGTACACGTAAGTTACAGGGGACCGCCCAGAGATGCCGGCAGCCATGCCAGCAGCAAGGGGGGGAAGTGGGGTGGTGACCGCCCGCAGAAGCTGGCAGCGGCTTCAGCAGTGGCCAGTCTCAGAGGGGCACACAGTCACTGGTACACAGCATCCTGTACAGGAAGCGACCTGCCTAAAGCAGTACAGCATATTCAACAATGCTTCATTTTAACTGCATTAAAAGCCAATAATTAATTTTGTAAAGTTATTTTTTCATTTAAACAACTGTAGTTACCACAGGAATATTTTGGGTTGATGAACTGGAAGAACTGCAACACAAAGAACTTTTTTGTGGGTGATATCTTTTATTGCAGGGTTTCTCAACCTTTTAAGTAGCAAGTACCCCCTAACTTCTGAAAAGTTTAATAAGTACCCCAACACTCAATTTTCCAGGGGATTTTATATTTATAGACTAATGTGTGCTATATGTTGGAAGAAGGACTGCATATATAAGGCCGTGATATGCCAGATGTCTAATCTGGTGTGGATAGGGTTGCCACCTTTTACACCAGGGGTGCACAAACTCAAGTATCTACCCGGGCTAGAGGTGATGTTACCCAAAGCTAGGAGGGCTGAACCCAAATTATTACTGGGGAATTTAATTTTTTTGCTATAGTTTTGAGAGGATAAAAGGGTGAGAGAGAGAGAGAGCAACCCCCTGCCTGTGTCTTGCGTATCCCCCAGGGGTATGCATACCACAGGTTGAGAAACTATGTTTTACTGGACCAAGTGTATGGTTGGGACAGGACTTTGACCAGTGCATTCTTCATCAGGTCAGGAACATGGAAAAAAAGTTACCCACAAGAAGCTGTCCCTCACATGATCCACTAAGGAAAATTTTGAGAGTGCCTGGGAAGTGATAAGCCAAATTATGTTAGACAGGCAATTTGACAACTTCTATTTTGCCTCCCCCCTTTCATAAAAATGAAAGAAAGATGATCACTGACCAGAAATGCTCTATAATATTAGACTGCAAATGAGTCAGTCCTATTTACACACACACTTTCAATTGGGACTATTTGAAGTAATTATAGTGGAGACACCCTTGAAGAAACTATTACACAAGATCAAGATCATGCTGATCAGGACATTCTAGGGGAAGAGCCTGATAATTCCTGGTAGATAGCCAGCACTTTTCTTAAAGATGTTAATTTGTTTTGTTTTTTTTAACTTAATTCTGAGTTGGAGGCACTTTACTGATAGCAAACTAAAATACTTTCATATGCATGCCCTGTTTTCTTTTCTTTTTTTTTAAGGTGGCATTGCCTTTATAGAATATTCATTTTAAAAATTAGTTTTACCTGTGACAATAGTTCTTCCTTTTCTTCAGCCAGTTTTCGTAGCCGAACATCTAGATGAATTAGAGCTCAATTAGAAATCTGACTGAGTTGAAATTGGAAATTTATTGTTTGACATTTTATTTTCATTAAGCTCAAAAATAATTTTTTTTTCCACACATAAAACCTATAAATGTAAGGACATGCTGAAATTTAAGTCTTAATTTCCTGTTGGTTATTGCAGTAGGTTAATTAGGAAAAGTCAGTGTGAATACATGATAAGTGACAGCAACGTACTGTTCAAACATATTTTGGTAAGTAGTAAAAAGATAGTTTTCCTCACTTTAACATATAAAAGATTTAACAGCAATAAAGAACTCCAAGCCTCATTCCCAGTAGTTAATGAATGTTTGAGGATCAATTGGCAATAATTTCTATGACTAATGGAAAAGAAACTTTTTCAATATGCATGTTATGCATAACCTATAAGTACATAGGAATATTTCCTTTTATACTGAGTGATGGAAAACACCATTCAATGTAAAACTGAATTATGTGGCCTGTATAACATGTTTTTTAAAAGATGCTTAACTGGCTTAGCAGGGAACCCTTCAATAAACTAAATCACAAAAAGGAAGTTTATAAGAAGTGGAAACTTGGACAAATAACTAGAAAAGAATATAACAGCAGTGTTTGGGCATGCAGGGGTGGAGTCAGGAAGGCCAAAGTGCAACTAGATTTTGAGCTAGCAAGGGATATAAAGTATGTTGGTAGCAAGAGGAGGATCAGAGAAAGTGTGGGTCCCTTACTGAGGGGGAGGGAACCTTGTGACAAAAAACGCATAAAAGGCTGAAGTACTCAATGCCTATTTTGCCTCAGTCTTCACAGGCAAGGTCAGCTCCCATACTACTGCACTGGGTAGCACAGTTTGGGGAGGAGATGAGCAGCCAACAGTGGCAAAAGAACATTAGGGACTATTTAGAGAAGCTGGACATATACAAGTCCATGGGGCCGGATGGGATGCACCTGAGGGTGCTGAGGGAGCTGGCTGATGTGACTGCAGAGCCACTGACCATCATCTTTGAAAAAACTTATAGTGATCAGGAGAGGTCCTGGATGATTGGAAAAGGGCAAACAGAGTGCCCATATTTAAGAAAGGAAAGGAGGAGGATCCAGGGAACAACAGATAGGTTAGCCTCACCTCAGGCCCTGGAAAAATCGTGGAGAAGATCCTCAAGGAATCCATTTCTAAGCACTTGGGGGAGAAAGAGGTGATTAGGAAGAGTCAGCATGAATTCACCAGGGGCAAGTCATGCCTGATCAACCTGACTGCCTTCTATGATGAGATGACTGGCTCTATGGATGCAGGGAGACCAGTGAATGTGATATACCTTGATTTTAGCAAGGCTTTGGATACAGTCTCCCACAACATTTCTCACAGGCAATCTAGGGAAGTACAACTGGATGAATGGACTATAAGGTGGATAGAAAACTAGCTGGAGCATCAGGCTCAGAGAATAGTAATGACTGGCTTGATGTCTAATTGGCAGCCAGTACCAAATGGAGTGCCCCCAGGGGTTGGTCCTGGGGCCAGTTTTGTTCAATGTCTTCATCAGCAACTTGGAAAATGGCATAGAGCAGTGCTTCTCAAAGTGGTGGTCTGCGGACCGGCCGGTTGCTGGTCCGCAGCGAGTTTCCAGGAAAGAAAGAAATATATTTTCAGAAGCATAACACTGATATGTCATAGTGCCACAGTTTGTACGTTCCAAAACTCCAGGTGACATCATGTTGTGCAAGGTGAGGAAAGAGAAAGAAACAGCCGGTCACACATTTGTGTAGCACTGTTACACGCAGTTGCTGCCACCAGCTGAATTGGGCACTGGTTCCTGACCCCCCGGAAAAAAAATTGCTGGTCTGCCACATCAGATAGTTTGAGAAGCACTGGCATAGAGTACACCCTCAGCAAGTTTGCAGATGACACCAAGCTGGAGGGGAGTAGTAGATACGCAGGAGGTTAGGGCTAGAATCGAGTGATCTAGATAAATTGGAGAATTGGGTCAAAAGAAATCTCATGAGGTTCAATAAGGACAAATGCAAAGCCCTGCACTTAGGACGGAACAATCCCATGTACCAGTACAAGCTGGGGACTGAGTGGCTGGGCAACAGCTCTGCAGAAAAGGACCTGGCGGTTACAGTGCACAATAAGCTGAGTATAAGCCAGCAGTGTGCCCTTGTTGCCAAGATGACTAATGACATACTAGGCTGCATTGGTAGGAGCGTTGCCACTCCTGGGAACTTTTGGAGGGCTGCACATGTTTAAATTAGTAGGTCCAGATGCTCTTCACCCGAGGGTGCTGAGGGAATT